ATGAATCAAGACATCATCAATGAAGTTAGCAGTCACCTCTGGCATATCACAAAGAACCTCGTCCATCATCAGTTGGAAAGTTGCTGGAACATTGTTCAAACCAAACGGCATCACCAAGAACTCGTACAAATCAAATGGTGTATGAAAAGTAGTCTTAAGAATATCTTTGTTAGCCATCAGTACTTGCCAGTACCCAAAAGCAAGATCTAGCTTGGTAAACTAACGACTTTGCCCCAGACGATCCAAGAGATCAGCAGTGTGAGGAAAAGGGTACACATCCGGGATCGTCACTTTATTTAACAAACGATAGTCGATGTAGAAACAAATACTCCCATCAGGCTTCATCACAAGATGAGGTTCACATGCTCAAGGATTCCACAACTTCCGAATAACACCCTTTTCCAACATCTCTTTGATGTTTGCACGTAAAATCTTAATCTCCTTGGGTGACCGACGACAAATAGGAACCTTGATTGGATGAGCATCTTCAGTTGGAATTAGATGACATGTGGCAATTTTGGCCCCAGCCGATAGGTCAAATTCAAAGAGATCAAAATACTCCTTCATGAGCCGGTCAACAGCTGCAATACAAAGATCGTCGGAGGGATCGGAAAAGAGAAAAGCAGAACAAAATGCAAACACAGGAGGAAATAGTGGGGGAACAAAAGTAATGGAAGCAAAGGTAGAAGTAAAGGGACGAAGAGGTACGGAAGTGAGAGGAATGGATGAAACATAAGGAAGTATGAGATAAAGGGGAAAAGCCTCAAAGTCACACTTAACATGATTGCACTGCAACCAATCCATACCAAGAATGAGGTCAAAAACTTGACTCGGCACCACCTGCAACAATTGCAACTCAAGCTCAAAATCGCCCACACGCACAACCAGGTCTGCCTCATCTCGTGCATATGCATGTGTACAGCCGTTACCATAAAGAATGAAAACTGGGTCCATTGCACGACACAAGTGTAGACGACAACGTGTGGCAATAAGTCGAGTAATAGAATATAAATGAACCTGTATCAACTAACACGGAGAGAATAATAGGAGACTTTTTGTTATAAAAATGAGCTTAGAAAGTAAACACTGGATGAACCGGTGCCGAGTGAACCCCTTGATGATACTCCCGAAAGAAAGATGGAGGGGTCATTGCATTGGTCGATAGCCTTGCGAAACAGATGATCGTGGTAAGCAACAAAAGATGAGACATGGATTCATGAAATCTAATCTCAAGCTCGCGTGATGCAGTTGAAGGACGCAACATACGCCAACATAGACGACTTTCTTGATGCTGCAAACAGCCAAGGCAAGACTGTCTACACATCCGTGGAGAGTCCCGGCGAGGGCCAGAACTCCAACACGGTCTCCAGAGAAGCCAGGCTGCTCAAGAGGATGTTTCTGAAGATTAGAGAATGAGGTATGTCCGTCCATTCAGTTTGCTAGTTCCTAAGATAACTTCATTACAGGTAGGCATGGCTTGCAAGCCTTGGTGTTGCAAAAACTTCAAGTGGAACCTTTCGTCTCACCGACACTCCATCCGAGATCTCGTCCATGCTCAGCTCCTTGCCACTGACCTTCCACTTGAACCCATGGACGAGGCAAGCAAGAGTGTACGAAACCATGGCTACACCAAGAGACAATCCGGGACAGATCCTTCGACCAGATCCAAAAGGCAGCAGCTCAAAGTTCTTCCCCTTGAAGCTGATCGAGCTCTCCACAAATCTATCCGGCTTGAAGAGATTGGGAGACTCCCACAAGCTTGGATCTCGTGCAATTGACCATACGTTGACCAAAACTCGCGAGTTCTTGGGGATCTTGTAGCCGTTGACTAGGCAGTCTTGCGTTGAATGGCGAGGGAGTAGCATTGGCCCTGGCGGATGCAAGCGGAACACTTCGTTGACAACATTGTGGATGTAGCTAAGCTTGCAAAGATCGGCTTCCACCACCATCCGCTCACGGCCCACAATTGTGTCAATCTCTTTTTGGGCTTTGATCATACATGTTGGACTGTTCATGAGCTCTGAAAGTGCCCACTCGGTGGTGATGGACGAAGTTTCAGTACCGGCAACGATCATGTCCTTGTGAAGAGAAAATAAGGTTAGCATACCAAAGGAAATTAAACTTACCATGATCACTGCTTTCATGCATTGAACGTCAATTTCTCCTTGGTCTTCCAATGACGAAAGCACGTCAACAAAGTCACGCGCACGCTCTGATGACTTGACTTTAGACTTGTGCTCGTCCACGATCTCTTGCAAAAGCTGGTCCAGTTTCGTGTGAGCCGAGATCATCTTTCGGATCGCGGGGCTGCCAAGCCACGAGAGGAATGGAAAGTAGTCGCCCAACACAAACGAGCCCATCAGCCGCAGTACTTCTTCGATCAGCTCCACAGAGCCAGCGTGAAATTCTCTCCCAAACGTGATCGAGCTCACAACATTGAGGTTGAGGATGGACAAAAGGACTTTCATGTTGATTGAGGCTTTCCCGTTTTGACCATTATTGACTATAAAGTCAATGAGCTTCGAAACTTGCGTGTGCCTCACCATTCTGGATTCCTCGAGCCTTTTTGCAGTGAAGAGTTCCACAGTGGTGACCTTCCTCATCAATTTCCAATAGGGACCATAGCTGGTCCATGCCAAGTCCTTACCATTGTAGAACATGTACTTGGCTATAGATATCTTTGGCCTTGAAGCAAAGGCAAGATCTTGAGTGCACAGAACTTCTCTTGCAGCATCTGGGGAAGAGACCACAAGCGTTGGAGCAAAACCAAACCAGAGCAACATGACGGGGCCATATCTACGTGAGAGATCTGAGAGAGATTTGTGAGGAAGAACACCCAGCAAATGCAAGTGACCCAGAAGCGGCACTCTAGGCGGGCCTGGAGGAAGGCTTCGATCAACAATTTTCGTTAGAATCCTCCATAGGAGACCAAAAGACAGTGTAAGCAAGAACAGAGCTACAATACTTGCCATGGATAATTTTACACACCAGTGTGTGCAATGTACTTATAGTAAGAGATAGCTTCTTTACCTCCATGCATTTCTTATCTGTTTATTCTTCTCGTCCTCAAATACTTTTCAGTCAGTTATGGTTTAAGGTTAAAGGATACGATATTTGTCACTACATTACGTTGGCATTGGTTGCAACGTACGTTCCTCTCGATGTTCTTCTTTTCTTTCTTCTTCTTTGGTTTTGATGAATCGAAACCCTTATCTTTGAGCTTTTACGATGGTAATTACATTATATCCAGGGTGAATTGTGAATCTGATTTTGTAACGCCATCTACGACTTGCTACAAAGGGTGTCATAAAGGTGTCATTGATATTCAGGTGAAGGTAGGTAGGTATGTGCTAGATGCTCCTCAATGCTATTTTTTGTGTCAAGCTCAATCTCAAAGTGAATGCTATAATGCGTGTAGCTTAGTTTGAATCGAAGTTGAGATAAAATCTCCAAGTGTGTGGGCTTTTGAATTTAGAATCCTCACCATTGTGATTGGCAAGAAAATACTCCGCAGGTAATGACCAAACACAAGTATCCCAGATCAGAACATGGTATCATGCGTTCCTCGAAGGCTTGTTGGCACATCAAAACGGGCACAGCTTGAGCTGGCCTGCAACAGAGCTGTTTGTCTTTACCGTCTAAAGCATTACAATGAACGAATTTTCTTTACGTTAGTTTGCAGCTCTTAGTGTTCTTGCAGAAATTCTGGAACATGGCGTGCGACAATATCCCGAACTCAGCATTGGTAGGTATGCTCTTTGTCACCACATTAGTTGCTTTTGCATCTCTCATGCGTGAGAGGCTCTTGAAGCTCACCACATGATACATGAGAGAAATAGCAAGCAAGACACATAGCAAAACATGACCACCAATAGCCAGTAGAGTGGACAAATCAGAAAGTGGACACACACCTAAACTCACGTGTATCTAAAAGCCAATGGTCTATGCCTCCACTGGTGGACACTATGTCAGAAACCAAAAACATCTAGATAGTGTCCCCACTAGAAGCAAGCATCTGAAGTATGCTAGAAGCATGAGAGCAATAATTGATGCAATGTAACAGCTCATCACTCTTTGTCCCTGTAATCTTTTTAATGCCAAGTATTTATCAACTCAAATACTAACCTTTAAACCTGAAGCCAACCATATAAAAGAAATGGCTATATATAAAACAAATTTCTCCAAATTCTAGACTATACATTTTCTGCTTTTAAAGCCACGTAGAGGGCATTGAGATATGTAGCGTTGGAAAAGCCCAGCGCTCAAAGAATCTGCATCAGTCGAAGCTTTCAACTTGAAGATCCGATCAATTCTTTTTGACTCGCTTGATTTGGTTCTTTGTTTAGGCTGCCATTGACTACGTTAATGGAAATTTGGGGGCCGCAAAGGAAAACCTCACTGACATGCCACCACGTGCAGAAGAAGAGTTAGGCTCAGTACTTTCTGATACTTCCGCTATCAGAAAGTTGTTTATTTTTGTTTTTCCTTTCCTCAGGTCACGCTTCACAATCAAGCCCTGATGAATATGGAAGTTGATCCTACTGCAGGCTTCCGTAAACTTAATTTTTTGTTGCAGGTAGTCATTTTCATTCTTTTATGATTATTCTGACCACTCGCTATAGAATCCGCCATTTCCTTCAGAGACATTGGCTAATCTACTTCTGCTGTATTGGTAAACCTTCCCATGGATTCTACGATCTTGCAGCTGATGTAATGGCAGAGCATGTGGAAGTTATCTTCAAGTATCCATCTCAGGTACGCTTGAAGCACATAAACTTCACAAGCATTAGTCTTTTTACATCTAATATTATGCAGGACCTCTACGACTTTATTAACTGCATCATTTTGACAAAGACGTCACCGGAGGTTATTCAATTATTGTTAGTTGCTATGTTGTTGAGCTAAGCTTGACTGTCGGACAGGATGCATATCAAAAGATGAATGAGCTGGCAAATCGTTATAGTGAAACCATGCGCAGGCTCACCAAACAAATCCAGGATTCTTGTCTTTCTCGCGATCAGGAGGGCCACAAGAAGGCTTTGGCAGAGTATGAAGACTCTCTTGAGGTAAGATGTTCGTAATGTTTTGCCTTTTGCTTTTCGAGCATCGGCTCTTCTATAGTATTATATACCTATCATCATGGCAATTACAAAGCTTTTCTGGCGATTACAATATATTCTTGTAATATATTGGTCTTTAGCAGAATGAGGTGGCCGAAGATTTGATGCGAAAGATTGAAGAAGAGGAAGAGAGAGCGCACTACGAGGTTTGCCATTTATATATAACTTAAGCGGCTACTAGTGGTTTTAATTCCGTGTTCCTTTTCTAGAATCCAGACAAGCAGGAATTGCATTTATGCATTGTAAACCTTGTGATCGGTACCCTCTACTGCGCAAAAAAAAACTTCGAGTTCGGTATTAGCCATATCATCAGAAGTCTGGAGCCTTATGGGAAAAAGCTGGAAGCAGACACGTAGTTTTATGCGAAGCGTTGCTTTCTTGCATTGGTCGATAGCCTTGTGATCGTGGTAAGCAACAAAAGACGAGGCACAGATTCATGAAATCTAATCTCAAGCTTGCGTGATACAGTTGAACGATGCGACATACGCCGACATAGACGACTTTCTTGATGCTGCGGACAGCCAAGGCAAGATTGTCTACACATCCGTGGAGAGTCCCGGCGAGGGCCAGAACTCCAACACGGTCTCCAGAGAAGCCAGGCTGCTCAAGAGGATGTTTCTGAAGATTAGAGAATGCGGTATGTCCGTCCATTCAGCTTGCTAGTTTCTAAGATAACTTCATTACAGGTAGGCATGGCTTGCAAGCCTTGGTGTTGCAAAAACTTCAAGTGGAACCTTTCGTCTAACCGCCACTCCTTCCGAGATTCGTCCATGCTCAGCTCCTTGCCACTGACCTTCCACTCGAACCCATGGACGAGACGAGCAAGTGTACGAAACCATGGCTACGCCAAGAGACAATCCGGGACAGATCCTTCGACCAGATCCAAAAGGCAGCAGCTCAAAGTTCTTCCCCTTGAAGCTGATCGAGCTCTCCGCAAATCTATCCGGGTTGAAGAGATTGGGAGACTCCCACAAGCTTGCATCTCGTGCAATTGACCATACGTTGACCAAAACTCGCGAGTTCTTGGGGATCTTGTAGCCGTTGACTAGGCAGTGTTGCGTTGAATGGCGAGAGAGTAGCAATGGCGCTGGCGGATGCAAGCGAAACACTTCGTTGACAACATTGTGGATGTAGCTAAGCTTGCAAAGATCGGCTTCCACCACCATCCGCTCACGGCCCACAATTGTGTCAATCTCTTTTTGGGCTTTGATCATACATGTTGGACTGTTCATGAGCTCTGAAAGTGCCCACTCGGGTAGTGATGGCCGAAGTTTCAGTACCAGCAAGCATCATGCCATTGCGAAGAGAAAATAAGGTTAGCATAC